GTGCAGAGGAGGGTGACTAAACTAGTGAAGGGCCTGGAAAACAAATCATACGAAGAGCGGCTGAAGGATCTGGGGCTGTTTAGTATGAGGAAGAGGAGGCTGAGGGGAGACCTCATCACTCTCTACAACTACTTGAAAGGACACTGTAGAGAGGTTGGTGCTGGTCTCTTCTCACAGGTAATTAGTGACAGAACAAGAGGGAACGGCTTCAAGCTCCAACAGGGTAGGGTTAGATTGAACATTGGGAAGGAATTTTTCACTGAAAGAGTGGTCGGGCATTGGAACAGGCTGCCCAGGGAGGTGGTGGAGTCACCATCCCTGGATGTGTTTAAGGGACGTTTAGATGCGGCACTGAGGGATATGGTGTAGGGGAGGACTTTGTAGAGTAGGGTAGATGGTTGGACTCGATGATCCCAAGGGTCTCTTCCAACCTCAATGATTCTATGATATATATATATATCTATAAAAAAATATATATATATAAAGGCAAAAAGAAGGAGAGCTGCTATGTGTGTGTTTACTCGGAAACAGTTTGTTTACTGCCTGTATTTTGGTGCCTGTCAATAAGCTGCTGTTATTAACTTGTCTATTTGACAGATTGCCAGGAATTTTTTCCAGCTCTCCACAGAAATTTAAGCACAACATATATATGAAAGAGAGCTAGGATGGGAACAGTGGTATCTGTGAATTGGTGATGTTTGCAGACCAGTATGGTAATTGATGAACACCTAATATCTTACACCGCTCTAAAGGGAGAATGGAAGATGATGTTTTAGTGGGATTCTGACGTTTTCTGGGATGAACTAAATAGAAGTGGTGGCATTAGAGTGTAGATGTGGTAGCTGATGTGACTGTTTTTTTGGTTTTTTTTTGTCCCATCTCCAACTTTTTTCAAGATATATTTTGGTGTGTTCGTGTATGGTTTTTCACTATCATTTCAGTCCCTTTGGGGAGGTAGTGATATTTTATGTCTGCCTCATTTGACAGAAGGGAGGTAGCATCTATGTGGGAAGGAGACACTTTATGTACAATTGAGAGCAGATCAATCAACTTTAAAACCCATAGAGACCCACTAAGGACATTTTAAGCCTTCAGTCCCCATTTCCAAATTTGTGCAAGTAGGTGTCTTGTGGTGGGAAACTAAGGTCCATCAGCAATCCAACAGAAATCATAGTAGTTTGAGTCCAAGGTACTTTCTATTTATGGGAGTTGCAGGTACTAAATACACTTTGCATCTGCAGGAGGTGCTCCAAGGAGTCTGTTCTCTAGTTCTGAAAATCCAGTTAGCCTTTGACCACCTTGACAGTCTACTTTGATTCTTATTCTCCTGCTCTTTTGCTTTCCAGGTGATGGTCCCAGGGCTCACCTGCAGAAGTTGGCAGAGTATATCCGTTGGTCTTACGGTGCCGGAATAGTGCTCCGACTCGGAAACATCGCTCGATTAGAACTTAACTACTGTTTCCCCATGGGAGTACAGTCTGGTGACAGGTTTGTTTTTCACACCCATTTCTTTAATAGTAACTGATTTTAAAGGTTATGGCACTTCTGTCTGGTTTTGGCAGAAAGAATTGCAGTCTTTTGTTTATTCTCTGCCAGTTTAGAGATTTTTTTCAGCCCTTGATGCTCTTCTTTCAGCTTGCTGTATTCATGGTGGTTTCACAGTACTTCTTGGTTTTAGACTTTGTATCTCAGGTTTCAAAGTTGATTGAACTTGAGCTCAGCTGTTGAAATGTACGAGCAGCTCTGCGGCAGGTTTGATTTCTGTCGGGGAAATGATCACTCAAACAGCTCATGGGGTTTTCTTAAGCCTTCCAAAACCAAAGCGTTGGATAAATACCAAGTTTAATATCTTTGCTTGAAAAATGAAAACAAGTTTAACTCTAGATAAAGAAAAAGGGAGAACAAATTAATTTGCTAATAACCAATTATCCTTCACCAAGCAAGTATTATAGTACATAATAGAAAAGCTTTAGGGGGCCTGTTCTTGCCTGTGAACACTGTGTGAGATGCTCTGTGTTTCATACAGGAGTTGGCTTATGTTCCTACTTGTCATTCATGTGAGATGTGAATGAATAATAGCAATTTGAAAATGATGGACTTTAATTTGCAAATGTAAATACTCCATATGGATGACAGATTGGCAAAGCATTTATTTTAAAAAGCCTTTGTCAGCTAAAATTTGAAATGTAACTTTCCAAAGCTTGAAAACCTTAGGAATTTCGGGGTAGGGAGGATCAACTTTAAGTTCATCAGTACCTTATTTATCACTTACGTTGTTTATTATTTATTTCTTTTCAGGATATGTGACGGTGTTCAGTTCGGAGCAGGAATCAGATTTCTATAATGCAGAAACATTTTACATCACTATATGAAATTGTGCTCTGTATTGAAATCAAGACTGTAATATAGCTATATACGGTCTAAATTTTTTCTTGAAATACAGATACACATCTGAGTGATTAAAAAAGGTTCTAAAGGTTCATCGTACTTCTGATTTTTATCAAAGAGTGGAGAGTGTTGGTAGGATTCTAGCTATTTTAACTTAGAGCTTTTAGTTATTACTTAAAGGATGGGAGAGTTGTGTCAGAAGTTGGCTCTTGGATACAGTTCACATGATGATAGTGGTCATTGGTCTGCTCAACCTTCACTCACAAGTGTTGGGATGACCAAGTGTGAGTATGGCTGGAGTGGAAATTAAAAGGGAACAGTTTTTCTCTATCATCAACTTCCGTGAGCAAATCACCCTGAAAAAAGTCTGTTATGCATCAAAAATTATTTTATACAAGTAATGGTCGCAAGTGTTCTGATTGGAATATATTTCCCTATTGTAAAAACACCTGTCTTTAAATGCCTCCTACAATGTGAACTGCATACTGTAGAAATTCAAGTCAGCTGTCTAGCACAGTACATACTAAAATTCAAGAATAACTTGGAAAGGTTCAGGGTTCTCCACTCTGAGGTGGTTTGGAGGGCTGTGATGCTCCCAGCACAGCCATGGGCTTGGGCCTTGCAAATCCATCTTTTTGTAGCAGTTGCAAAAAGGGATGTCCAGACCTGTGATGGTGTGATACCACCCTGTTTGCTTTTGCACAAGGCATGCCTCTCTGACTTCTTTAGATGCTAATTTCACTTAAAATTGACCTCTTGCTTTATCACTTGGCATATATTTCAGCTTTTATAAGGTTAGACTAATTCACTAGTTTAGTCCTAACAACTCATCCTTGAAGATACTTTTTTTTTTTTTACATGTATTAATCCTGAGTTGTCATCCTAAGAGGATCTGAACCTAGAATCCACTTTCCCTGCATCTAAATTTACTTTGTTGTTGTTGTTATTAAGTGTTGGCAAACTTAAAATCATAATACAAAGAAGATTCTGGGAGAGTAGAACAGAAATAAGAGGAGTTATTATACTGCTGATTTTAGCTTAAGGCACAGGTTTGGACACACTGTCAGGCCACTTGAGCATTAAGTGCTGGAAGGACTGCTATGAAACCTTGACTCCACTCTCTTTAAGGAGACCACAGTTTGATACATTGCTTTAGGATTGGCATATATTGCTGTTGCTGTAATACAGGAGTTAAATCTGTTTCTGTTGACAGCTACTTTTCTAAAATATGAGGGCTAGAAACTGCTCTGCCGTGTTTTTTGCAGAGCTCTCCTTGACTAAACATCCTTCCCTTTTTATAAAGTGGCAGGAAAAGGCTCACAGATGTTCAAAGCAGGAGATTGTGTGAATGACAGAAGTCAGGTCTATTCCAAATACAAAAATTTCATATAAAAAAACTTTCTTCAGTGTGTGTATCTAACAGCTGCTGTAGCAAATACGTATTTAACAAAGCGTTTCTGATTGTTATGAGATAAAATCTGACACTATGTTAAGAATGTCAACAAATGTTACCAGTTTTTCTCCGGCACTATCTGCGTTTTGACACATGCAAATATTTTTAATGGGAATGTTTAGATACTGAAATATTGTTAGATACCAAAAGACTCTCCTAGGAGTTAAAGTTTATTTTGGTCCTTTTGATAAAATCAGATGTATACTATTGCCTTAAGAACTCTTTCTTTGTGCAGATTGTTTGTTACTGAAGGATGCTTAACTTTGTACTTTAGGGTTACACGAGAGAGCCCTAAGGGAGTACCAGGTGGCCATTTCAGAGGGCACAGTAGCCTTCCTGGCTTGAGCAGGTCTCCAGAAGTCACCTCAGCCTGCCTCTGCACACTGGGAAGCAACTAGTCCACAGTTACTCCATGAGAAATAAGGGGTGAGTGGGGGCAATGG